TTCAGGTATCTTATGTATATGACTGTACACTTAAATTGCAGAAAATTATCTCGAATAGCTCATGAAAGTATACGACAGACGCATATAAACGCGCGTAAGGGGCATATAGGTGTGTTTGTCTATTACCATAATCAGAAAGATATAACGCTCTAAAGGGTCAAGTTCAAAAATTAAAATCGCATATCAGAAATATTCGCTGAAAATCTATTCGTAAACGAGCGCACGCCATTTGTTTTATCATATAAAAAAGACTAACGCTTGTTTTTTCCCCCACAATCTCTGCCATTTGTCAGGACTTTTGTTTTGCAGCTAAAATGCGTTGGACTGTACGCAATTTGTTAATTTGCCCATTTGCTAAAATGTTTGTAACATTGTTGCGGTTTGTCGGAAGACATTATTATTTATGTAAGCATTATATTTAGCTAAAGTTTAAACTAAAGTCCTTAGTTTTGATTGTCCTTTTTAGGCACCTATTGTAGTTTGTTAATAGTATAATCATATTTAACTATACTATAAACAAACCTTTTACTAAAGTTTTTTATTCCTCTAAACGAAGGGTTCTAAATGTATAATATATTTGACAAAATCACGTCTGTTGCTCTGATCCCAAAGAAGGTAACTAAAGCACTTGTGTGTTATGGAAATTAGAGACAACGGCGGTACCACAAACACCCAGATCCGAGACAATGTAGAAAAGTTCGTTTTCTTCATTGACCCGGCTGGAATTCGAATTCGGGACTTCAGAGACGGCGTTACCATGAAAACCGGTGTGCAAGGCACTCGACCACGGAGGTCGTGAAATATATTACTTGTTGTCGTTTATACTGTCTTAGGACAGTTTTTTAAGAAAAGGCACCATCTGCCCCCAAAATTTAATAATAAATTTTGAATTGAAGTCGACGTACTACATATTTACGTATATTTTAGCTTTGTATAAACAAAAAACGTTTGTAACGAACTCAACATTATTAGAAAAATAACATAATCTGAGAAATAAAGAAATGGTTCCTACCACTACGTTGCTGAAAGATTTCTTCCTGAAACAATTTCAGCAGTATAATCTCAAATTCACGTTGAAGTTGCAGGCCCGTATTCGTGCTATTAACTACAAAAGATTTGCATATAAATGAGTACAAAATGGACGGTAAATCTTTATTTCGTTGCTATTTTATTTGCTTTTTATTGGTCCTGCTGGCCGTTCCGGGTTAAACGACCGAAAAGGAAAATCGTAATGTTTAGTAGCAAGGAAAAACAGGGACCCTATTATGTTATTTATCTCAAAATGGTAAAAAAAAAGCATATGTTGGTCCATGAATTTGTAGATACGTAATGCGATTTTACACTTCCAAACTTAATGCAGAATTTCGTTTCGTACTTCGAACTGGGAATGTTGTTTGGAGTCTACATTTTGTAATCTGCCCATAACTTGGCGTAATATCGTCCTGTATGCTAGTATATATTACGATGTTTATATATTTATACATTAGCACTTACCTATTACATAAATTTTAGTAGCAAGGTAGTACCGCCAGCATACCTATTTCTGCCGGCAAGCAGTAATGTCAGCATTACTGTGTTCCGGTTTAGAAGGGTAAGGCTCCTGGTGAAATTACAGGCACATGGGACTTGTAAACTTATGTTTCAGGGTGACGTGCGCAGTGGCAGTGCCCATAAGATATTTGCGATTTACAGCTCTGAGTGGCACTGCAACAGTTATGGATAGACGTGTAGCTTACCATCAGGCGCACGACTTGTTCGTCCCGTCACGTAATATTATTAAAAAAAAATAATTGTATCTAACATCGAAAAATTGCTGAAGACACTATAAAATGTTTTTTCTATATCTGTTCATACACCTAATACACTAAAGTTGGTTGTTGTCATATTAACTTTCATAGCCGTGTCAAATTTACTCCACGTGGACATCATAAGTTTCGAGCTTGCAAAAGACAGCAGGGTAGTTATCCGTTCGTTGAGAGAGGCCACGGTGGAGCAGACGAACTTGACCTTAAGTCTCGTCTCTCAGTGGGGAGATGACAATCTGGTCGAGTTCAACGCTACCAAAACGCAGGTCTGTCTGTTTTCTGCTAAAAGGAGTCAATTTTATCTGACTCCCACTTTATGGGGTATATCTATCCCTCTTACCGACAGCCTGGATCTCCTTGGCATAAAATTGAGCGCAACCCTTAACTTTGGCGCTTATATTGAATGTAAGGCAACCAAGAAACTGGGTATTCTTAACAAGGTTAAGCGATATTTCACGCCTAGATAGCTCTTAACTTTAATACTAAGCACAAGTCCGATCTTGCATGGAGTACTGCAGTCACATGTGGGATGGCTCAGCGAAGTATCAACTTGAGGCTCTTGATTCGATTGAGCGCTTATTGGCGACGATAAGCTCGAATCTAAACTTTATAGTTTAGCCCACCGGCGCAAAGTTGCCCGTCTGTCGGTGTTTTACAGAATATATTTCGGTGAGTGTGCCCATGAGTTTCATCAGCTCATCCCGCCCGCCCCCTTTTACCATCGGACATCCAGACGTACGGCGGGAGATCATCCTTACTTGGTCGATATTCCCTTCCGGCGTACTAAGCGCTTTTCGTCATCTTTCGGGCACAGCCCAGGAATGGAATTCCCTGCCTGCGTCTATATTTCCGAATTCATACAAGAAATCTTTAAGATGCGACTGAATAGGGATCTTCTGGGCAAGCTCGTTCCATCGTCGATCCTGTCTTTGCTCCAGAGCTAGGTAGTGGTCAAGAGCAAGTACATTTAATTTTAAAAAAGAGTAAAATTATTATTATTATTATTTGAGTCCAGTCAAAGTAGGAAATACCCTGTACTACGAGTATCAGAGCAAGGACATTCACTCCGGAGCGCTATTTAGAACACTCAGACCAGAGTTAATTTAAAAAATTCGTTACTCAAATTAGTTTTATCGGGAATCACATGCCAATTATACGGTGGGCCTAAGAGGTTGTCAAAATGGCCGTAACTGAACAATTACGGTCCTGATTAAGTTGATGACTTAATCATGACATTACTGTAATATTGTGTTTTTGCGGCCATGATATTCATAATGTGAAATGACTCTATTACTTTGTAATAATAAATTATTAATACAAAGATCGAACGCAAAGAAAAATTCCTTCATCTGATAGGACTCGAACCTGTGTCTGTAATGCTCTACATTTAAAATTGTCCTACATTGGCATTAAAATTGCTCTACATTGAAAGAATGGCCATACTCAAATTTGTCAGGGAATAATCTAGTTTTCCTAAAGTTGCCAACAATTTTTCTTGGGGGTTACATAATTTAACGAACAGTCTACAGGGGAATTGTAATAATCATTCAATTATTACGTTTACCTTTAGGTTACCTCGACCCCTGAAATTCTGTTTAATATTCCTTAAAATTTGTGATTGTTGTGTTCACAATTTTTCCACGAGGGTTATTCAGGTCTGTTTAAAAAAATTGTATCTTTATTTGTAAATGCAAAAGAACCATTCGACAATTCTCGAACAATCTCCGTTTGATGCTTCTATACGGTAGACATGGTAGTAGATCCCTAAAATGATAAACTATTTTATCGCTCTGTCACTTTGTAAAACCTTCCAGAAAGGAATTACGCTTCTTGCGCAAAATCGCGTTGGTAGTAAGTGCCCTTTTTGGTTTATATAAGAAGTTGAGAATTTTCAATAGGTTTCGCGTTACTTTCATTATGAATATTCAAGGTGTTTAGATTAACCTTTTTCGCATATTTATATTTTTAGCGTATTTAAGGTTTATAGCAAAGCTTTTGAAGTCTATTCCTCTCAATATTTCACTGAATAATGTTTAACAAATGTTATTTAAATTTTATAAGGTGGTCTCGATCTGTCTGAATAAGTTTTCAGGAGAGAGTTTTATGAATTTTAAGAACGAAATTTTTTGTGCTTAAATAGTAGAATTATAAAAATTCTCATTTATGTATAATTTATATGTAAAATAATTTGTTTTATGTAGGTCGTGTTGTTTTTGCGACTTTCATGTGATAGAAATACTTGACGTATGGCTTTATTATACCTACAGAGCGTACGAGATTAGTAAAGCATCAACTGATGTTGTGGACACACCTTAGATGCGCATGAAGTGTTACGCTTTCACATTCATATGGCGTATGGCCATGGAGTGGAATTTCTTGTATTCAGATTTGTTTTCTTAATGCCGTAATTTGAGTTTTTTGAAGGCAAGAGTGAATAGGTGTGATGTGCATGTCAATTTCCGTTACATGAGATGGAGGTCAAATACGCATTTACATTGTCTTGAAAAAAAAAAATGAACTTGTTGAAGTTGGTAAATGTTGCTGTTTATTCTAATTATACGCTAAAATTGTTATGAACGAATTTTTCGAGATAAATAAGTATACAAACAGACAGACGGCATGTTTTTTGTTGTGATGGAAAGCAACTTTGTTTTGGATCTTTAGTGGTTTTTATAAGCCACAGTTGGCTGCACTAACTAGGTTTTAAAAATTGGCTTGAAAAGTTGAATTACGTCGTATTCAATTTAAAAATACAGCTAAAAGAACTGAGGAATAATGCAGTTGAAAGTTACTATATTTTAATTGGCTAAAAACTATTAATGTAGTTCTCATTTACATTTTTTTTTAATTTAATTGAAGTACTTGTAAATAATTTGTGCGTCAAATAAATCGTTTCGCGTAAAAAGTTGAAGCCATTTTACTGGGCAAAGAAGAAAATTAAAAATTTTAACTTTATTCGCTTACAGTTGTATTCCTTTCTTTCATTTTTTTACCCAAAACTACTAATGCAATCTTAGTTTCTTCTCTATTTTTTTGTCGAAGTAAAAAGTATGATATTTAACTAGGCGTAAAACATTGATTACCTATCAATCGATCAATCAACCATCGTAACGGAGAAGAACAATATAATTTTTATATTACTGGATTTTTTGTCTGTAGTCTTCTATTACGGTGGTAATTATTTGATACACAGGAATGGCGATGAGGCATCTATCCTGGCTCCTATTTTTCGGGCTATGGATTCTAACAAGTGCGATTGAGCTAGACACTTGTGAAAAGCGGATCTATCTGGCAAAAGCTGAACAACTTGACGCGAATGGTCGAAAATGTTGGGACACTGTAAAGGTGCCGTGTTGTGGAGGAAGATGCAACTCTAGGGAGGTAATTTTGATATATATTCTCAGTCCGTACTAAGTATATATTCCTCTGAGCATATATGTGTAATGCTATGTCTCTGAAGTCGTTCACAAAGTGTTTACAGAGTGACAATGTATGTTTTCTCAATACTTGGACATTTTATAGTGTTGATTGTCGCAAGTGACGAAGTTTGCACAGTGCAAATTGTAACGGTCTCGAAAAGAAACTTTAAATTTTCTATGAAAATGTTTTCCGTGATCGTTAAAAACAATCGACATTGTAAACTTATGGTAGAGGCAGTTGATCAAATTGTGTCTTGTTGGCAAATGGCGAAAACATACGTGTAAAAAAGTTTACGGTCCCAAATTTTAGGTATGACTAAGTAGGTACAGCCTGATTATATTTTCAGTATAGTACTTGTACCTACTATTGATGTCGAATTGAATTTTGTTGGGATTTATTTTGAGAGGAAAAGCCTGGAGTTCTGTTTTTGAGTCTGTCGAACTTGTTAGTTAAGTTGTTATGAAAGAATCATAAATAGACAGAAATACGGGAAACCAAAACTTTTGCCCAAACTTTAATAAAAAACTTACTCCACCTTAATCGATTATATTTCATCCCGTTCTTTTTGGCACGTTGATGTTTTACGCCTAAATATAGTAATAAAATGTTTTTTGTAAAATTACTCCATTAAACAAAGATCGAACAAAAAAATCTTCGGTCTGACAGAACTGACCTGATTGAACTTTTCTTTGAGTTCTATCATTGTATTAAAATTAGAATCGGTTAATTGTTAATACTAGTTATTGGCCATGCATATGACTTTCGTGTATCTATACATACATACCTTCTCTGAATTATAATCAGTAATCGGAATTGAGCGAGTTAATTTGTCTAAAGTATGAACGTTTTCTTAGTATACCCACTTCGTCAACAACGCGTATAAAATGCCTTTTTTGGGTGTGATACCTGGAAACCTAAAAAAATATAAAAATTTCAATTTCCTTATGAACATTAGGTCATATTTGGTGGCTATAGTTATAATTTAATATTGTATTTGTAACACTAACTTAGATTATTCTTTATATTACTTACTTACATTACTTATGCTACGAGTAATTACAGTATTTTCTTTACATTTTTACTTGACATAATAGTTTTAGGGTCGTATTTTAGAACTCTAATCAATGCTCAAGTCAGGATTTGAATATGACTCATAATACGACACTCGAAATCATACTCAAGTCCCTGCCATTAGGGTCGTATTTCCAGTGCTTGTGTTTCAATTGCAATCCTGACTTGAGCATTGAGTAGAGTTCTAGAATATGACCCCTAGAGTTATAGGATAGCTATTTGCGTGTGATGCACTTTAGTGGCATGGCTTACTGGGTTGCAATCGCTCACCATAGGGTACTGGCAGAAAACCAGCTTTTTTTTGACTGTCCACGGTCTACAGTATTTATGCTGAGTCAGGGCCATTACCGCACAAACTGTAGTCATACTTAGAATTTTGTCGATTCCCACAGTACTTGTTTGTTTGTTTCTCTCACAATATTTGTTTTATCACAGTATGTGCTTTGTATGAATGTATATTCAATTAATAATATATGTTTTATGTGATTTTGTGTTATGCTTTGTGAACTGATTGTAAATGTTTTGTTTCTGTTTTTGCGCTGAATAACCGTGTTATGTATCTATCTATCTGTTGATCTATCATATTCAAATGTAATCAGTTCCGAGAAGTCCCGGCATTTGTAGAAGGGAATGTCCACATTATTATTTAGTTCAGCTAAATTAACTCCCTCAATTATTCAAATAAATTTGGTTATTTTAACAGCTAAAATGTACACTATATTTCATATTATACTTGTGTTATCGGCCACGAAAAAGGGACGTGCTGTCATCTACAGTAACGACGATAATAAGGTCGACCACTCACAATTTGAAGGTGAACCGCTTTTGTTTATTACAACAAAATTTTGTGCTTGTCACCGGATGTTAGCCAGTGAACCGGATGTTACTTAGATAATTGACCAGTGGCGTTTTAAAAAGTAACATTTTAATAATAGTATTCTCATCATGTATAATATATTAGGCCACAGTCATATATATGGTTACTATACTAAATACTATAGTTGTCGTTACATCAGAGTATTTCTATTATTGAGGTAAATAACTATGAGAGTTTCACGCCAGGGAATATTCAGATATCAGATCGATAAGTAATTCATAATATATAATGTCAGATGAGGGTTGAGAGATTCTATTCTATTGGTAATTCTATTCTTATATATCAATTCTAATGGGAATTCTGCGCCTCCCTCCATAACCACCCCCTACAGCTTACCGTTTCTTAGCCCTCTGAATGAATGAGGTTCAGTTCTGTTCTGAAACGATTTCTAGTTCTATACTCACCTCCGATTGCTCCATTGGAACAGCCGGAGCTTCCTTCTATAAGTTCAATTCTAATACGTACTAACGTTTCCTCTCTCATCCTACATCTCTTAATAATATTGATTGGACTTACATGATTCTTATGTTCGATATCGCCTCTTCGAAGTTTTCCGAGTTCATAACTTTTCTCACCTTGAATTAACTCCTGCTCTCCCGCCAGACACGTACGCGCTCAAAATTCCGGATTTTCTCCAGTCACCGTAAATTTTTTAAACTCACCATTATATGATATGGCTGCGAACTTTGACATCATTAATTCTTTTCAGAAACTTACCCGATTTCATCGAAGCCGCGTTTGTCGCGACAATAAGAACATCATAAACAACAACTTTTGTTCCATGACATTTAATAATTCATCAGATTTTACTTTCATACAAAAATAAAAATAATTAAATCGATTTCTCTAAATGGTGCTAACTATGTGTGCTAGTAAAAGAAAACACCCATTACCAAAATTATTTTTATGAATCACAGCACTCGCGAGGCGTTGCTAAAAATCTAGTATTTTTTTCCATCCTCTAAGCTAAAAATATAGGTCAGAAGTGTCAGATAGTGCAACAAAAGTTTAAAAGTTTATTTTTGGTAAATGTATTATGTTTTGTAAAAAGTCATAACACAAAAGTTATTGTTTATGATGTTAGTCATATGGTTGCTAGTATTTTACAAAGAACCCTGTATATTAGATTATCTTGCGTAGGGTAGTCAAAACACAATGTCAGATTTTTGAGAGATTTTTTAATTTAAAAAGGGACACTGTGTTTACAAAAAGTATATATAAAGCGTTACGAACTCTCATTTGGTTCACTTTTAAGGCATCTAGATAATGATGTCACTAGGAGAAATGAATCTCTTAGGAAATGAAACTGTTTTCCGGATTTAAATCGCGTATATTTGTTTTTTCAAACAAATCGATGTTTCGGGCCCTTTACAGGTCCCATGGTCACTGTTGACTGAGGTGGTACAGTCTTCAACCAGTTATGTCTGATATTGCAAACCACCCTATTTTTTCACTATAGTTACAATAGTTATTAATTAAATACCTTATTTTTAATTTTACAAAGAAAACATTCCAATTTACGCTACATTAAGTTTTACAAATGATTTTATTGAATGAATTTTTATTAAGTTCAATTTATTATTAATTAATAATAGAAATTAGAAAAAATTAAAACATATTAATTAGTACTGCAGTCTTATGTCTGTTTGGGATTTTTCATCAGAGGAAATACTGGATCCCAAACTGGTGGTACGGAGAAACCATCTTCCCTGTTGAAATTAGGATGTTTTTTAATTTCAATGGCTTCTCGCGGCATCCTGGGTAGATAACGGACTTCTTTTGCAAAGACCTGGGGTTTGTCAAACTTCTTTGAATGTGTAGGATTATCCATGACATGCTCGCAGACTGCAGACTCGTTTACGCGACGGTGTTTGACATCAGCTATATGTTCTTTGACGCGGGTACAAATACTTCGTTTTGTTTGTCCAATATAAGAGAGACCGCACTCACAGTCAAGCTTGTAAACTTCTGTATCCTGTAAGGGGATGTTACATTTGACGGGTCTCTCTATACGTTATAATGTATTTCCGGATATTTCGAACAGCTGGAAAGCAATACTTAAGGCGGGCCTTAAGAAAGAAACCGAAGATGAGGTTTTCAAGAAATATGATTTCAAAAAAAACGTGTCTTGAATCCCGAATTATGTGCCGCGTTAGCCCAGGCTTGCAAAAACTGAGACCGATGTAAGCAGCAAGCTAATCAATTCAAGTTTAATTCGGATATACCGACTAGGCTATGACAGGTATTGTCAACAAAATATAGAGATTCCTTACATATTTAAAAGCATAAATAACGCCTGCAAACTGATTACCAACTCACACCAGGTACTATAAATCGAGCCATATCGATATACCATAAATCGACAAATCATGCTACCGTAAACAAGAAGGTACCTTTACTGGACAAACCATATGTGATCCCCTCATTGACCGCAAACGGGACAACTTCTTGTTCGTAGAGAACTTGAGAGAACTTGAAAATTCCTTTTACAACCCTTGCCACACCGGCAGAAGTAACAAGCGTAAGCTAGACGCATGTCATGGAATGGCTGCAACACATGAATTATTTGGAACTTGACTCTTCGGTCGCCGTCTGAGGAATACCGATAACATTACTTTCATACCATGTATAAATCGCGTGACACATGGCAGTGATGTGGGAAACGTAAAGCAAAGTATTAGCAGAATATGAGTGCCGATATTCAATCTAGAAACCGAAATTGTCTTTAGCAGCAAATAGATTTTTCTTATCTGTACTACTCTAAACCAAGCTCTAAAAAACGTATTGGAGAAAGAGACTCACACGCCAGTGATATAAAAACTGTTATTTTGAAGCATTTTACTAGAGTTGCAATGAATATTCGGTTACTATTCGATATTCGGCATATTATATTGCATCACAGTCCTACGGAACACCTAAAAACAGAAAGATCACATAAAAAAAAAATTGAAAATTATCATGTAAATATCTTTCTCTTAATTCTCTTAAAGCTCAAAGGAAAAGTAACATAAGTTACTTTTCTAAGATATAAAAACATAGCATGTCAAATGAAAAGCTACTTGCTTGTTACATCATTCACTCATGATTAAATAAACATTAACCAGTGAACAAAGTACTTATTATTTGAAAACCAAAATAAATTAAGTATTTGAAAGTTAATCAAACTGAAGTGAAATAAACATTAGCTTTTTCCATTAAGTTATAAACTATAAATATCATTATATAGAATAATTTATCGTAGTTGAAGATAATAAGTGGTGTTTTCGTGCTAATTTTCGTACGTGCTTTAATACGGGCTACACTCCTAGCCGAATATTCAGTATTCGGTCAGAAGCCGAATATACTATTCCTTGCAACACCATTTTTACATTTCTCGCTCATTTCTTCTGTTCAATCACATCAAAAAGTACGCGATGAGTCATATAGCATTTTGTGTCTCTTTGTTGGCTGTGCACAGCGTGGTTTCCGATACTTAAATCATGTAATACGTATATTATTATGTATATAAGTAAATATGGAGAGGTTCATCGTCTATTCACCTTGGCTATGACAATATTGTCAGTCAAACATGTCTTAGAATATGAATCTTTCTTCAAACTTTATGTGTATAATTGAGTATCAAACCATCTGCGCGATATTTAGGACACTTAGACCTCATAAATAAAAGAATAATAAATACAACTAAGTACAGCACTATGACAAATTATGGTGGGTAGGGTATAATTTATTTCAATGAGCAACCAACATGTCCATAACTTATAAAAAGGTGATAGATAGTATTTTCCACAAAGATTAGAATCGTCTGGCATGATGCTTGAGCACTAGAAGACTGAAGTCTATGCTCTCTATCAAAGTCTTCTTCGAGGGTATTTAGAACAACAGGGGTACCAAAAAGCAAACAATTTTGTAATTCCAGAAACGCAATGGTTTCTCAAATAGGTTCCCAAATTTCGGCCATTAGAAAATTTGTTAAAGGAACCAAGTTTCATTTGTACTACGGATGTGAAATGAGCTTATTGTATATAAACAGCTTGCCTTTGTTTTACAGTTGTGTATGGATTAACGAATTTCGTTCTCAAACGCTTTGGCGATGCGTTGTTCTAAGAGTTATCCGTTTCGCGCATTATAAACGCCCTATACATAATTTAACACTAACTTTCGAACAAGTCCGGGTTATTCAAATTTTGTGAGACGAAAGTTATATTTGCAGAGGTTTTATGTAAATCTGTGTAAATACCCATATCACCTATACCCTTTCATCCATTGTGTTTATCTTGTGCCTTAGGGGCAGGCATAAAATTCAAATGTGGAGTTGTGCTAACATAATTAAGTATATCGATTGGTTACCCAGAGAAGTACCGAGCTGTTAGAGATGTGGTTTCCAAGTAGTGTACATCAAATAATAAGTCCATATAAACCGCACACGCGCGATGGCGTTGAGAGAAATAAACACTATTTTGTTGCTGGTGGTTGGGTTCGCTGTGCAAAATTTGCCTGAGTAGGTATCACCGCTCTATTTCTATAGCAAATCGACACTGTTCTTTTCCGGTCTGAGTGGTTGGGAGAACTAGCGTACTTGTCCCATGGCTGCGTAGTAACGACGCTACGAAATTTGCGGTAAACATTTTCTTACGGGTAAGCAAAAATTTTTACAATCCAGCCCAGAACTGCAGTGCTGTGACAAAATCGCCCCATTTTGAAGTAATTATTGAGCTATAGTTGTTAGAAAATAATACTTTTCTTGAGTCTGTGTCAATATTTTACTTACAGATTCCAGATTGGAAGTTCCCGTTCAAAAACTCCCATCACCCAGTCTGTGCATACGCGGCGAGGAAACCTTTGATGATGCTATTACGCTACTGTGATCCTGGTGTGATACCAGGCACCGAACTGTTCCACTTTATAGGTGCTGAAGACTGTAAATGCAAGGTAAAATATATAAATATACGATAGTATAAATAACGGGATGATCTTTTTATACATTTATTTTTATTTAATATTATGTGTTTTTACTTTTTTTATAATACCAAGTGACGGGACGAGTAAGTCGTGCGCCTGGTGGTAAGCGACACGCCTATCCATAACTGTTGCAGTTGCATTCAGAGCTTTACATCGCAAAGATCTTGCGAGCACTGCCAGTGCGCCCGTCACTCTGAGACACAAGTTGACAATTTACCCTTATAAATCGGAACGCAGTTATGCTCACATTACTGCTTGGCGGCAGAAATAGGTAAGGTGGCAGTATTTCCCTGGACGAACTCTTTCAAAAGGAGCTCTACTGCTCCGGCCACTATCATGATATTCATCCATTTCTCCTGAAAATACTCCACTAGTTTGTTATAATTATTGATACGAAGATCGAATAAACATAAAGAATTATTCCTTCGATTGAACTGGACTGGAACCAGAGTCTGTTGTCTCAACGTAGCTACCGCTCTTACCAACTCAGCTACAAAGTTCTCCATGCGCTTGTTGCGATCTTTCTATTGGATTGAAACGGCTTTTTTTACCGTAGCGCGTAGTAGTATTCTTCACTAAACTTTTCAGTTTTATAAGTTCTCACAGTGGCACTAAGGCAAAAAAGCCCAGAGACGAAAAAAAAGATCCGCTACAAGTACATGGAGAAATTCTTAATATCTACTGACTCGATCCGTAACTCAGTTGCTCTTATATAGTTGATTAGATGTATTCAACAGCGCTCTTGGTTCTGTCATTTGAGAAAAAAAACCTGTTAATAGCTATTCAGTTTCAAGGCATTTTGAGACAATTACTTCTTCAATTATGTCTCTGTGAAATATGTGTATAACTACTATATGATTAATGGTACAATATTTATGTGTTTTCATAATTTTGCTTCCGCTACTTAATGAGTTTTCGATTACATTGTTCAAGGGAAAGGGAAGGTGAAAAGTGGACCCACGAAACTTCTTCATTTCAAAATTTGAGGAATTATTTAATAAAGCTTATTGAGCGTTAGTGTACTTACTTTCCAATTAAATGTCATTTTCTTTACTTATGTGAAGGTTTGAACTGTTTAATAACTAATTGGTATTGTAGCAACTTTTTAATGGTAGGCATGTATAGTAAGTAGTAATTACATATGTATGCTATGGGTTCTTTAATAAATAATTGGTATTATACCTACTTTCCAATATCTAAGTATCTATACCTGCATACGTCAGAGGATTCAATTGTTTAATAAATAATTGGTATTGAAACTATTTTCTAATGGTATGTACGTACCTATATTTATACACGTAGTGGGTTGTAAAATCAAACCATGAGATCGTGGATTGTCTCAGTGTGTAGAGTTAATGAGTAAGTATGTGTTAACAATACTAAGTGCGCATTTGACCTCCATCTCACCTGATGGAAAGTGACGATGAGGTCGACGACGTAGCTAGCATGCACACCTAAATTACAATGCCTATTCACTCTCGCCTTGAAAAGACCTAGGGTAGCATGCATTATATTAGTAGCAGGTAGAGTTCCTTGTGAAAGAGTTCGTCTACGGAAGTACTGCCACCTTATCTATTTCGACAAGCAGTAATGTGTCTAACGGTGACGGGCGCACAGTGCCCCGCAGCTCGTTGCGTTTTAAAGCTCTGACAGGCAATGTAATTATTATGGACAGGCGTGCCGCTTACCACCAGACCTACGACTTGTTCTTATTGTCACTTGGTATAATAAAAAAAAAAATATCGGCTAAATAACTTCCTTTTATGTCATACTCAGACTGGAAAACTCGTGTCAAATTAGTAACACTCGAAAGACATCAATCATAGTTAATTCAAATCTAGGTGTATGACATTCACAAGGTGCTATGAGAAGGAGAAGCCGTTTTCGTATGCGGAGCAATAACAATGTCTAAATCAGTATTCACACGTAGCCCTATCAAACCACATTACATTCACAAAACAACAGCACGAGTGTAAAAGGGGCGAGTGTAAAAAAAAGTGTGTATGGAAACGCATAGTTCCATTTGTCTGTAACCACACTTTGCAATGACGTCATAGTTAGGGCTTACGGCTACCACAACGCAACCACTTGCTAAACTCGTAGGCCAACTTCCAACTACGTTTCCACCACATTACAATCACACGTCTTTTGTATTACTGCACTGAGACCACATATTGATAACTTTCTAGAAGAGTGGCCTATCTCAAAAGTATAAAATTAATAGGGAAGATGGTTTTAAAACGTCTTAAGACGTCTCTGTTTCGGAAATTGATGATTCGAAAACTCTTCCAATCGTGGCATGTGATTAATTTAACAAATAAAAAGCTCTCGTATACATAATAATGTAATTTAGCATTTTTTGAAACCTCAATAATGAGTCAAAAAAGGAACTGTATTGAGCTACTATCTTTGAAAAACTGCGATATGTGTGTACAAATACGGAACACTGTCCAGAAACACTATTGCCGCCGTGACGTGTTTTGTCAGTGGCAAAGGGTCAAGAGCGCGTCAAGCTTGACGCATGACTAATCCAACTCTCGTCGTACAAAAATCGTCCAGGGAAGTACTGCCACCTTGCCTATTTCTGCCGCCAAGCAGTAATGTGAACATTACTGGGTACCGGTTTCGAAGGGTAAGGGTGCTGGTGAAATTACAGGCATATGGGACTTATCAACTTATGTCTCAAGGCGTCGGGCGCAGTGGCAGTGTCCCTCAGTCTTTGTGATTTAAAGCTCTGAGTGACGCTGCAGCTGTTAGCGACACGCGTGACGCTTACTTAAAAAAAATCTGGATATTGTGTAGACGCTGTGAATTTACTACGGAATAATAAAACGCCTACTTTATAACGTAAAAAAGTGTCGCGTTAGTTTCTACGTTTCAAAATAAAATTAGTTTGGTAAAACTAATTTTGTTTGTCACTGTTATATACAGAACGTTTTTTTTTAAATTGGGACAGCATCTGAATCAAAGCAAATCCAAAACCATAAAACCATAGGAGATAAAGGGTAATTGTCTTAGAACTCTAAGGGTTTTTGTTTTTGTGAAAACAATTATGACGTGGTCAATGTTTTGGCCAAGCGTAAGTTCATTAGACATGAATAATATTGGCAATTTTTTTTAATGCTGATCGACTCAGTATTTTATAATAATTTCATAGTACCAAAAGAAAAAATCGGGACAGAAGAGGTTGATCAAATGTAATAAAATGTTTTTTTCATAAGTATTTTTCGTTACTAACAAATATTATGGATGAATGTAAGTCTGAAATAAATGGATTATTATTATTATTATTATTATAAGTGTGAGTGTGAGTGTTTCATTGTAAGTACTTATCATAATATTATATTTAATTTAGTTATTTACATTTCAAATTACACACTATTACACAAAGACTTATTAATGTACACAAGCATTACATGTATATTAAAATTATCCCAGTACAATAAATTATATCAATTAACATATTATTAATATCAAAGATTGTATCCAAATCTAAATTCTAATTGTAATAGATACTAAAATTAAATTTAAATTGAGGTACACACGCCAGCACATCAAGCTACACATTGACGTATCTTATTCCGTTGCACTGGAGGCGGTTTTCGGACAAAAATGTGTAGTCTGGTGTGCCATTGTCCGTAGATTTGTTATTTCTCTTTATTTATTTTTATCATCAAGATAATGAAATACATATTTTTTAATTTTCGAATAAAAAATAATTCAAAGAGATTCTGGAGACTTAATAAGGAAAAAGGCCGTAACTTGTAACGGAACGTTACAACGTTGTTAAATTCATTTTAAAATAATCGTTTTTCAAATTTAACACTGTTAAAAATTTAACTCAAATATTATATTCAACAAATATATCCTATTTTTAAATGATAATTGATTATAAAACATTAAAACCATGATTTACCATAGACAAAATTGCTTAAATCTATGGCAGCTTACGTTGTATTTTCGAATGATGTTGGAGACGCAGGCAAGGCGAGAGGGGAGGCGCCGGCGGCGGCTGAGCTCTTCACACAGCGTCAGAACGTTTTCAAAATCTAGTCCACTCTCGGTTTGGCCGCGCTCACGATATAAAAAAACCGTTACGTATTTTAAAAAGTGCAAAATTTTATTGTAAATCAAAGATTATTGCTTCCCAATCACATTAAACGTACTTAAATATTTGTGAAAGTGAAAGTTCTCGCTTTAGGGTAAGTTGAATGACACACAAAATACTTGTAACGCTTTTATTTGCTAATTTCATGTTTTGTGTTGCACCAAATTGTACTATGTCGTTATTGTAGCTCTTTCTACTATTATATAGATATGTACAACGTAAATTTGAACCATATTGCAATACGCTTTGAGAAATTTTAAAGATTGCATCATCAAAATTTCAAATTGTACCGATCAAATTTAATTGTATTTTTTCACCAGACGTTGTTTGACGGATAATAGTCACCTTCGGAATAATTATTACCATCTATCTTCGGGTTGGAATGCTACCTTTGCTGACCTTCCGTCGTATTCATACACTGGGAACTTGACTACGTCCGTACTAGGACGAAGCATTTCCGCTGAACGGCTACCAATGCTGCTCGGCCTGTGATCTTTCTTCTGCGCCGGCGAATATACAGGGGAGTACCATATTCGGAAGCGGAAAACCTGAAGTCTTAAGGCACGTTACCACGACCCGTAATAAATTTATGTACCTACCGTTATTTTTAAAATTTAAATTATAAATTATTTTTTTTTATTATAATTCATTCAATTTTCGGATATCTTAGTTTGATTTTCTACCCTCATAGGGAAAATAAAACTAGGGAATTGAACCCGGTACAAACTATACTCCTAAAAAAAACAATACAATACAAATACAATACAAAAATTCTTTATTGTACACCAAAAAAGGAAACAAATACAATACAATTAAATTAAAAATAAGCGGTGGTACAATGGGCGGTCTTATTGCTTTAAGC